CACACACACACACACACACACACACACACACACACACACACACACACACACTTGTCTATCCCCTCCGGAGTATGAAAGCTCCTTGAAAGCAGAGTCTGCTTTTTGCTTTGACTTTGTATCCCCAGGACCTAGCACTGAGCCTTGCATATATAGTAGGTGCTTAATAAATAATTATTGGATTGGGGTAGAAGAAACTAAAAAAGTGGTTATGCAATGAATTTCTTCCATTTCCTCTTACTCTTATGGCTTGATCATTCACTGAATCCAACACTGAGAATCTCAATTTGATCTCTAGCCCCCAGATAGGAGGCTAAAGATGACTGGGTCAGAATGTAAACTGTGGGGCTCCAAGTGTTTTCAAAGTTGCAGGAGCCAGGGAAGGTGTTGCTTTTGGCATGAAAATGTGTACTTAGGATGCTGGACTAGGACTATTTAAGTGTAGTACATACTCTGGAGCTACTCTCTCCAAAAACGAACTGGCACTGTTACTGGTACTGGCAGGTTGGGACCTCAGATTTCAGCTGCTGTCCTCCCCCCCACACATACACCCCAAGCTCTAGGAGTAATCCACAGTATTTATGTGGTCTCTTTCTAATGTTCCGGTTCATGAGCCCCCACTGGTGTACTCCCCCCATGCCCCTTGATTATTAATTGATATCAATTAATCAACCAAACAATCTTTAAAAATGGTTATTTACTATGGTGGTGGAGTTGGTACCAAAATCCCCCAAAAGTCTATGACCCACTGTCCACTAATACATAAAAAGTCCAGGGGGAAATTCAAGTTTAGAGAACATGTGGCAAAGGGGATAATTCGCAGCTCCTGGAAGTGCTTTTGCTGGAGTTCTCAAGGTATTTCCTTTGGGTATTATGTAGCTTTTCTGCTCGGTTCCTTGCGGTGCCTTGCATCTCTCTTTCTTCATACTGTCCAGTCCCAATGCAGATACTGCTGTCAGCTTTTCTGGGGTTGTTCAAAGGCCCCAGTTGGAAGCCCTAAATCCTCTGGACCCTTCAAAGCCCACGAGGCCCACCTCTGTCCAGAGTGTAGTGGGGAAGAGACTGGGATCAAGGCTGAGACACTTCTGTTCTCTCTACACCCCCTCACTAAGTGATTCCTTCTCAGGGGCTTGGCTGGAGGCTTCCAGGGGATGGAATCTCTGGGTTCTAAACTGGTCTGTTATTTTATACAAAACTCACGGGGGTGACTGAGGCTGCTCAATCAATCCAGACACACTTCCTGCATATCACTCCAGCTCATGCAGTGACTTTCAAGTATATCCAAATTGATCAAAGATGGTTTCCAAACTTAGTCTAAAGCCTATGATTGATTAATTCACCCAATGTGTTCTCACTTGGTTATGGTATCAAGGTTTATCATCTGGTCACTTACTTTAGGTGGGGTGGTGTGATTGGTTAATTCAGTCAACCTCATCCTTAGAGAAGGACACAAAAGAACCCAGGCTGTGAAGAGAATAGGCCCTTCAGCTGAGTCCGGTGGCTGCCATCCCAGGACAGAGTCATAAAGGGCAAAAAGATTCTTTTAAGGAATTACGAGGTAGATGTGATGTGGTGGAAAAGTACAGGGGCTAGGGACACAACCTGATAAGAGGGATAAAAAGAACAAGGAGAAGTACTGCTAGATGGTACAACAGAGAGAGTGCAGGAATGGGAGTCAGGAAGATCCAAATTCAAATTCTGCCTCAGATGTTAGCTGTATGACTAAGAAATCTGAGTCAACCTTTCGGTGCCTCAGTTTCCTCATCTGTGAAATGGAAATAATAATAGCACCTACCTTATAGGGATTAAAGAATCAAATGAGTTAACAAATGTAAAATGACTTTGCAAACCTTAAAGTACTATATAAATGCTAGCCAAAAAAAAGTGAAAAAAACAAACAAACAAACAAGTGATTTAAATTAGAATGGGATGGAATAGAATAAAATCTTGGAACTAAACCAGACCCTGGAAGGAATCAAGTCTAATCTCCTTCCATGTTCCACAAGTTCTCCCTTTTGATTTGGACCGGGAAAG